GTATGAGATTAGTCGACGGGTCATCCTTGCATGTATACGTACATGTATACGTATGTATGTTTGTATGTGTTTTCAAATATAAATTATGTGAGTATACATTGTGTGTAGAGAGATGTGTATGCATATATATATATATATATATGTATTATACACGATCATAATCATTCAAATAATATGACAAACTTAGTCCAAATTTCAGCTTGAGATCCAGGCTACCGTTCTCTCTGTTCAATCCACCGCAACCCATCCCACCTATTGGCGCGAAGGCCCAGTTGATGAGCGTCTCGTTGGCCTTGTCCGCTGGACAAAGGCCCCTGGCAGCAATTCACAGCAAGCTGAGTCCGGTCGAGGGGCCTCGATTAGTTCAGGTCTTGATTCATACCGGGTCTTGGGACAAAAGGCGAAGTGCTCCCCTTTTCAGTGACTTCAAGCGCATAGATCAAGCTGCAAACTAACGAGGGATTTAAGCATAGATCAACGGGTTTGCGCTGTGCTCTGGCAGAGTTCACAAATACAGCTGAGCAACTGAACCCTGAACCAGATTGAGGCAAACTCCCTCCGAGGGCACTCGCTCAAATACGCCATGTGCTCCGCCAGAAATCCTATGCCCGACCCGCAAAATCCGGCAGCAACTTCCGTGTGGCCGCTTGGGGTAACCAAAGTGAACCTCTGTTGAAACCACTTGAAGGAAGCGACCAAGGAACCACTTGAAGGAAGCCAAAGGAAACCATCAACGATGTCTCGATTGAAACACATTTAACAAACCGTCCCCAGAGTCCACTGGCACCCGCCTGTCTGCAGTAAAGCCCTGCGGCGGGAAGCGCTCCCTGGGACGGCGGCAAACAACGCGGGGTCTTCGCAGGCGCAACTGGGACGCGTTTTGGCGGACATCATTTGAGTCTGTCTTGTATTGAAAACCCCCCAAAATGTGGCTTTCGAATTGGATTGACTTCAAAACAGACCAAAAAGAACCACCACAAAAACACACACACACACACACACACACACACACACACACACACACACACACACACACACACACACACACACACACACACACACACACACACACACACACACACACACACACACACACACACACACACACACGCACACCCACCCACCCACCCACCCACCCACCCACCCACCCCCACCCACCACCCCCACCCACCCACCACACCCACCCACCCACACCACCCCACCCACCCCACCCACCCACCCACACCCACACCCACACCCACCCACACCCACACCCACACCCACACCCACACCCACACCCACACCCACACCCACACCCACACCCACACCCACACCCACACACACACACACACACCCACCACCCACCCACCCACCCACCCACCCACCCACCCACCCACCCACCCACCCACCCACCCACCCACCCACGCACGCACGCACGCACGCACGCACGCACGCACGCACGCACGCGCTCGCGCGCGCACGCGCACGCGCGCACGCACGCGCACGCGCACCCGCACCCGCACCCGCACCCACACCCACACACACACATTTGCGGTTTTGGAGTCAGTCAGTGTAGCGATCCAACCTCAAACTGCACCAGAAACCAAGTCGGAGGTCCTTTGAACAAACGAGTCGACGTGCGTACCCGCCCTTTCCTTGGCGCAAGGCGAGGGCTGTGAACCCTCGGGTTGGATATGCCAACGGCACGGGCTCCGTTGGTTTCTGGAAAGACCTGCGTTCTGGACGGGGGGGGGGGGCCTGCTTCAGCATGTCACGTTCTCATTTTCCAGCCGACCATCCCCCTAAAGCAGGTTGATTCTTTTGGTTTAGCCCCAAGAACAGGTTGATTGCCCCCCAAGGAAACCCGCGAAAAGGCGCCACTGCTCGCGGGTGTTCGGTCTTCGCTGGGGTGCCCCGACGTCGCCCGCCACATGAAGCAGACTTTCAGCCAGGTCTCGGGGCGCAAAGCTCGAAATCGCGACTTCCAAGGGAGCCGACTCACTGGCCCAACCGGTGACATCAACAGATTTGGCGTGTTTTTTTTTGTCAGCCCCGTTCCAGTTCAAAGGTGGAGTGAAATCGGGGATCCGGTGGACATCATTTGGGGATAAATACCCTCCCTAGCCCAAGTGGCTGTGGCTGAAACCATGGAATCCCAACACTTTGGCAAATGGAAACAAAGGCTAAATCCTGCGGTTTGCCAGCTCTTTCATTTTGAGCCATACCCAAATGGCCTAGAAAATTTCTGCTTACCCCCCCCTCCAACAATCATGGAAGCCGACCGGAGGGTTTTGGAAGACAATTGTGATTTTGGGGAAACCCTCTGTCCACTTCCATAGTTGTTGGAAAGAGGGTAACTTTGGGACCCTTACTAAAAGTGGCCGCCAAAAAGGGAAAACCTAAAGGTCACAAGGTTGATTCTGAACAACCGAGAACCGTTTCCCGAGGTGTTCTTCGAATCCCGAAATTCTGAATGGTGTACAAATGCTTGGTCCCCCCCAAAGTGTTCCCGTTTGAACCCAGCCAAGGCCCCCGCATTTTGGGCGTCTATCGGTTTGGCAATCAGTTGTGCACCCTTTGCTTGTTGGTCACTGCTGGGGCAACAACGGAAAAAGAACAAACAAGTCCCGCGACTAGCAACTGGGCACACGAAACAAAAAAAGTGGGACATGCGGCTCTGTCACTGCTCGAGAAAAAGCAGCACAAAAGATGGTGCCGTGGAAAACCAGCCAAACAAGTAGCACATTGGGCACTTCGGTGCAAGCGCACCTCGAGCTATTTCCAAGGGAAACACTCAGCAGAGGCTACTCAAGCAACTGACCCCAAGAGAATCTCTATGCCCAAAGGTTTCCTCATGTTGAGAACTTCATTGTGGCAAGTGCGTGATTCGCTTGAGAGTTTGTCTCTCAATGATGCCCCATGTTCATCTCCGACAAGTGTCTGTCTCACTAGACATTGGCCGTTTGACTTTCAAAGGCCAACCAACTTGTTCGTCGCGAGGCGCGCTGAGCTTCGGACTGGGGGCGCCTGCGAAGGCTCTGAAGGAAAGCCCTTCCCGGAAAAAGGGGGTGCGAGGGACCAATCAGCAAAAATAAACGAACGCAAAGAAGTGGAAGCTAACGCTGAGCAATTTCCCTACCGCTGACATGTTCCGAAAGTAAGCGAGCCTTCCCAAATTCGTGGAAGCCCCCGCAAAGGGAAGAGTTCCGCACGGCAAATGGTGAGAAACAGGGTGAGAAATAGGATCGGGGGGTGTCGGGTTCGGATTTTTGACGCGAGGACGTTGAAGCATTTTATGCAAAAAAACACCAAGGGGAACGTCCTCGGAATGCATTGGACTCCCAAGCCCGTGCCGAGAAAAGGGTACCCAAGGCCTAGAAGCATGACACATGGACGGAAAAGATATGGCTGCTCAAAATTCAAGACCGGGACCGCAGGTTTTAGTTGATGTGTCCATTTAGGGTTCAATGTGGGGTCCCTATTTTTTTGACAAGTAACCATAGTTCAAACAGCCCAGGCATTGAACCAATGAAGATCTGAAAAGAATCGGCAGTGCCAAAAAATGAAGGCAGCAACCGTCTTTTTTGGAGAGTTGCCATCCGGATCACGGGGGGGAGTTGTACTCCACAGGTTGGTTCATGCGGATCACATTTGGGAGAGTTGCACCCCCCCATTGCTCCTGCAGGTCGATGAATTCCTGCAGCTTTCGAGTAGTCCCCCCCCACACACACTTTTTGGGAGACACGCGGCCATGGACATAGGTGACTTTTCCGGAAAAGAGATGAGCGGGCTTCCCTGATAAAAAGGGGGGGGGGCATGAAAAACCCCGCTAAACCGGTGAAACCCATCCAGTTCCCCCTCCCAAAACCGAAAAGAACACCTAGGGATCCCCGCCTTGAACTCCAGTGGCACATCCACGGAGCAGGTGGCCCCCAAAGAGCCCATCTGCTGGAACTGGTCCGCACCTAAGGGGGGGCCCATTGAACAAGCACCCGGGCACAACACACACATGAGCAAGCAGAGTAGCCATTTGCCGGGGCTCAGAAAGATGGAATTTCCCAAAACGGCACCCTGGGAAAATGGAGGCAAAGACGAAAACCTGCGGTTTCCCCGAGCTGCTTCATCTTGAGCCACGCCCATTTGGCCCCAGTCGAAACAAAAGGCGACGAGAAATTCCACAGCGGAAACCGGGAAGTTCATGGTTGCGAGAAAGAAGCGAAAGAACATGGATGTTCTCGCTTCCAAAGAACGAAAACCCCGTCAATCAGCAAAGGGCCACTATCCCACGGAAACTCCGGTGAATCAGCTTGGCTTCGCGTTTATTGGGATGAAAAAAAAACGAAGGGTCTGGGAATTTGGAGCTCTCGGGCAAGATGCGTTCGAGATAGAAGGGAACACACACACACACACACATTCCTGTGGCCTGGAAAGAAATGGTTGGCGGCTTGCAACCGTGCCCAAACCTGACCCAAAATGAACAAGGTCAGATCAAAACGACTCGCTAGGAGAACAGGCCTGAAGTTCTGGAGGCGCACTGCACGTGGATATCATATGTGTTTGCCGTCAAAAGGAAACGTCAAAAGGAAACCAAAAGGAGACCAAAAAGAGACCAAATATGTTGCTGAGCGATTCCGGGAGATTCAGCTCTGGAACGTCCAGCCCCGCCCAATCTCCTCGGCCCCGGGGCCGTACTGAGGGAAGTTGCCCGCCCTCCTGGACGGCATCCGAAAGCCGCGATTTGGCGTCTTTCAGCCATAGCGCCGCACGGGCAGTACAAACCCTGAGATGCACCCCCCAAGAAGCACACACGGAAGAAAAGGACTGTGGGGAAAAAAAGAAGAAGAAGAATAAACGAACGAACTCCGCACGTTCCAGCTGAAGGCCCTGCCACCCCCGTCCTGCCACTCCAATCTTCCAGTCCTGTATTGCCATCGCACAGCCTGGCAACGAGTCGTTGGGACGATCGGAATGCCGTCAGATCGGGGGGGAAAAAAAACTATTGGTCGGCTCGGCACTTTTTTGACACGGCACCCTGACCGTTTTTAGGCCAGCTGATGCAATCGCAAAACGATGCTTAGCGTCATCGTTATGCGGTTTGGCTTGTTGCTTAGATTAAGTGGCACCAAAAATGCTACTAATAGACGGCCCATGACGAAGCCAGCCAGCCAAGTGCAGCACGGTAGTGGAGCGCTGCTCACGTGCTCGTCCGTGATTCCATACGACTTGTCGAGCCACTTTTGAAAAGCCTGGTTTTGCTACTTTAAAAATCCGACCGTGTATAGACAGCCCATGACGAAGCCAGCCAGCCAGGTGAGTTCCCCCGTGTAGTCTCCGGGCCACTCAGCATGGTAGTGGAGCGGTGCTCGCCCATGGTTCCATACGACTTGTCGAGCCACTTTTTCAAAGCCTGGGTTTGTCTTCTTTTGGAGCTGGTACCCTTTGTTGGAGGTTGGTTTACAGGGAAACAACAAGGAAAAAACGAAGCCATTGGGGTGTCCCACAAAAAACACACCCGCCTCTGTCCAGAATGTCCTGGGCAATCGCAGGGTCTTCCAATGCCTGATCTGCCAATTTGCAGAGATCATCGTAGGCGGCACAGATGGTCAGAGAGGAGCCATCTTCCAGCTTGTTGTGCAGCGTGATGCTGTGTCTGACTGCTCCTGGGAAGCCATTCCTGGGTTGGTGTGCTGCCTAATAACCAAGCTTTGAAAGGCACTATCATGCAAGTGCGCGCGAGGGTTTGGAAAGCAAAGGCCCATTGTCCAATTCCATGATTGTTGATTATCAAACCAAGGTATAGCCTCTAGGTTCATATTCTCTCCTGGCTTGAATCCAAGGGCAAACCAAACCAAGAAACCTGGGTATCGCCTCTGGGTTCATACTTCTCTGACTCCTCTTTTTGAATCCAAGAGCCCCCTCCGTCCAACCCCTCTGGCCGAGGCGCATAATCTGCAGGCCGTAGCGCACCGTCAGCGGGTTGGTGCCGTACTTCATCACGCAGCGCTCGCCATCCAACTGCAGCGCCTTCACGTCCTCCTCGGCGATGTCTTGGGTGCCCTTCAGCTCCTGGAGAGGTGGCATCTCTTACATTGAGGGGACCCTCTAAGCAAATATCTGTTTATTTTAAAGGTATGGCAAAGTATCCGGTGTTTCTTTTACCCCAGGAAATACCTTGAAAAAAAAAACAAACTGTTTCGTTATAATCAGAACGGTCCTGCGTGAGTTATGGCTGTGGTTCCCTCAATAGAATCCTTTTGTTGGCACTCTTACATCCAGTCAGTCGCTTCACGGCCGTGTAGCAATCCCATCCAAGCAAGCTCATTGAGCATGGCACTTGTTGCAAATCACCTGCTGAACTCGAAACATTGGTCAATCCGCCATTTGCTGGGAAGGCTTGCCAGATCGTGGCTCGGGAAGTTTAAAACAACATTGGAATATGAACTTGCTGACAAGGGCATCAAGTAGTCCCAATTTACCGCGCGGTAGCTGCACGTGCATACATATCGTGTATGGCACTTAGCAATCTGCTTGGGATTGTTTGCGTAAAGCTCGCGCCATATACTTCTAGAGGGCCGTCCTGCAAATGCTCACTTGTTTGACAACCAAGTCGTGTGCTAAAGCATTGATCGTGGAGCTTCTCACAGCCTTGTCTATAACGTCGCAAGAACATTTTTGGAGCGAGCCGAAAAGAACCTAACCCACTTTGAGTACTGGGCAGCTGGTAGTAAAAGACGCGTGGGACGAACACATGAATGACTGCTCCTTTTGCAGGGTCACTTTGCAAGCTTGTTTCAGGCAACTCGGGCCTGGAAAGCAGCTTGAGCAGAGACTCAAAATCCCATAAATTGCGTACGGGTTTGTACGGTATTTTCATGGGATTTGTACGGCTTTTGTACGGGTTTGGAAAAACGGGGTTTTCGGAAAAATCCGCCGACATTGCTCGGCGTGTCGGATACTTACTAGAGGATAGAGGATAACCCCCCCCCTAACCCCCCCCCGCCCGACGTCTATTACGTAGGTTTTTTGGGGGGGGGGGGGGGGGGGGGGGGGGGGGGGGGGGGGGGGGGGGGGTCCCCCACGTACCGCGCGGCAATTTGTTGACGTTCCACTAAACGTAGTCTTCGGGGAGCCGGTGTCGCAAAACAGGGGTCCCAGGCTCGATTCCCCCTGCCGGCTTTTTTGCTGGCTTGGGCTTCCTGCATCCTTTTGCCGAAAATCTGGAAAAACTCAATGTTTTTGGACGTCCTCTTTGCGAAAACGCTGGAAAAAACCGTGTTTTTTTTGCGGGAAATACTGGGGAGCAAAGGGGAAGTGCAAGGATACATACATACATACATACATACATACATTACAGTACATTACATTACATTACATTACATGACATTACATGACATTACATACATACATACATTACATACATACATACATGCATACATGTATGTAAGCATGCATGTATGCATGCATGCATGCACACATACATACATACGTACATACATTACATGCATTACATTACTTACTTACTTACTTACTTACTTAGTTACTTACTTACCTACTTACTTACTTACTTACATACTCACATACATGCATACATGCATACATACATACATGCATACATACATACATACATGCATACAGACATACATGCATACATACCTACATGCATGCATACATACATACATACATTACATACATACATACATTACATACATACATACATACATACATACATACATACATACATACATACATACATAACATACATACATAACATACATACATACATACATACATACATACATACATACATACATACATACATACATACATACATTACATACATACATACATACATACATACATACATACATACATACATACATACATACATACATACATTACATTACATTACAATACATTACATACATACATACATACATACATACATACATACATACATACATACATACATACATACATACATACATACATAACTACATACATACATACATACATACATACATACATACATACATACATACATACATACATACATACATACATACATACATACATACATACATACATACATACATACATACATACATTACATACATACATACATACATACATACCTACATACATTACATACATACATACATACATACATACATACATACATACATACATACATACATACATTACGTACATACATAATACATTACATACATACATACATACATACATACATACATACATACATACATACATACATACATACATACATACATACATACATACATACATACATACATACATACATTACATTCATACATACATACATACATTACATACATACATACATACATACTTACTTACTTACTTGCTTACTTACTTGCTTACATTACATACATACATACATACATACATACATACATACATACATACATACATACATACATTACATACATACATACATACATACATACATACATACATACATACATACATACATACATACATACATATCATACATACATACATACATACATACATACATACATACATACATACATACATACATACATACATACATACATACATACATACATACATACATACATACATACATACATACATACCCACATACATACATACATACATACATACATACATACATACATACATACATACATACATACATACATTACATACATACATACATACATTACATACATACATACATACAATACATTACATTACATTACATACATACATACATACATACATACATACATACATACATACATACATACATACATACATACATACATACATACATACATACATACATACATACATACATACATTACATACAGACATACATTACATACATACATACATACATACATACATACATACATACATACATACATACATACATACATACATACATACATACATACATACATACATACATCCATACATACATACATACATACATACATACATACATACATACATACATACATACATACATACATACATACATACATACATACATACATACATACATACATACATACATACATATACACATACATACATACATACATACATACATACATACATACATACATACATACATACATACATACATACATACATACATACATACATACATACATACATACATATGTACATGCATGCATACATACGAGAGAGGGAGAGTGGGGAGAGAGAGGCTTGGGGGGATGGGGAGGATGGGAGCAGAGGGAGGGAGAGAGGACGACAGAACACACAAGGGAGACAAGGAAGAGAGGAAGAAGGAGAAAGGGAGAGGACAATGTCGGCGGACTGAGCCGGAGGCTCTAAAGTATGGGATTGTATGGGATTTTTTATGGGATTCGTATGGGATTCTTATGTTGTTGTTGTTGTTTGTTTTGTTTCCCGCACTCGCTCGCCCTTCCAGAAGCTTTCCAGCAAACAAAACAGCAAACAAAAGCGGGCACACAGCTAGATTGCGCGAGCAGGAACTGGTTTTGTATGACATTGCGGTAGAACGTCCAAAGGTTTTCGGGCACAACCACGTACTACGCAACAGGGTTGGCTTGGACTGTGTTTCCCATCGAACCGAAGTCATAAGGAATCTCTGGGTGCTGGAAGAAAGTGCGACTTAGGCGGAGGTCAGCTTTGTTGGCGTTTGGCTTGTGCGCCGAGTAACAAACGCAAGTGCCACTTTGCGATACTGCTGATGCTTAAACAAATACAAACAGGTACCATGCTTGAGCATGATGTGTCAGTCACGCAGAGCTACTGATGGTCATGTCGTGAACTGCACACTTGTACATTCAAGTTGGTTGTCCCCCTTCATTCTTGAGTTTTGGCTGACCACGCCCTCGCGTCTACCCCTGCCTTGTGAGCTCCAATCTTGAGGAGCGGGAGGCTATCGCGCACTTGGCCGTACAAAATGAAACCACAAGAGCTTCCCAAAAAACATCTAGCAACCCAATATACAATTTGGCAGTGGAAGAAACCTGGCGGCTCCTTTCAACACCTGCTCGAGATCCGGGACCTTCGCTCTGCTCTTCGAACATCCGACATGTCGCTTGCGAAAAGCGCCAAAATAAAGGATGTAAGTCAAAAACCGGGCGTTTGTTTCCCTGGAAAACCCTTATTGCTCCAAAACTTGCCCAAAAACCCAGGTTTTCCCATTTCACCCTTTAACATCCCAACAAAAAAGCGGGCAGCATGGGGCAAGCAAAAGACGGGCTGAGGAATCCGGTGGGTAAATTTATACTGGTCCATTTCCATTCTTTCCTGGCATCCTTCTTTCTAAAAAACCACCCGAAACCCCGGGGAAGCAGCTGGCTTCTCAAAAACGAACGAGGGTTGAAAGGAATGGAAAAAGGAATCAACCCTAGAAAATTGGGGTACCCCCAAATCGACATCCTTTCCCTGCATCCGAAAAAGCGGGCAGCGTGGGGCAACCAAAAGACGGACTGCGGAATCCGGCGGGTTTTGTGGCGCCGGCTGCCCCCAAGAATCAGTCGAAGCACCAAAAGACAGGGGGAATCCCTCAAAAGGGGCTGCTGTATTTTGAGTAGTCGTGTTGTCCCCCCCCGACTTGGTGCCCACACAAAAGCCACCCCAAGCTGCTCCTCCAAATAGGCCCGCACGAAGATGGGCCGCACTGACTGTGCCACCCAGCGGGAGAAGGCGTAGGAAATGTCCGCCACCGCCTGCCCCGAAGACGCGGTCTCAAAGTCGATCAGCCTCAAGGTCCCGGATCCGAAGCGAACTGGACCACCCCACAAACATGGAAGTGGACAGAGGGGTTCCCCAAAAGGAAAGTAGTCTTCCAACCCCCTCCTGTCAGCTTTTATGTTAGTCTGAGGGAGCGTAGGCAGGAAACTGCGATTTCGCCCCAAAGCGAAAGAAGCTTTGAAAAGAAGAAAAAAAACCCGAGGCGAAAGGAGATGGATCTGCAACCAGGCAGCTGCAAGCCATCTTCGGTGTACAGCATGTTGGACGGGAGGAAGTCCCCATGCACGGTCACCGTGCGCGAACCAATCTCTGAGACGGGGTTCGCCCCTGCCTCCAGGAACATCTTCAAAGCCTGCTCGCCCAGCGCCAAGTCGGCCTCCCGGCCGAATTGGTGCCGCTTGTTGTTGAAGCTCTGGTAGGACCAAAGATGGGAGGAGGCAGGCACATCCTGAGCTCTGCAACCTGAAAAACTTGCATAAAACTACTACTTTCCCAAACTACCTTTGCAACAAAAAGGAATCTCGAAAAGGTAAATGACGTAAAGGACGTTTCACTTTGGCCCGGTATCCTTGAGTTCCGGATACTGCTTCTTCAAAAATGCCAGGTGCTCCTCATACCACGCGGGCTCGATACTGTGGAGCTTGGCCAACAGCCTGACCGCGATGTGGCGAGCCCCGATTGACCCTCCCAACTCATTCTGCGGATGGACGAAATCCACAAAGCGGCACCGGTCAGAAACCCTGGAACGAGGGTTCCCCTCTCTGTCTCCTCTGCTCCCTCTGTTCCCTTCAACCCTCTTTTCCCTCTCTTTTCTTGTTCTGCTCAATCCTCTGTTCCCTCTGTTCCTCCTGTAAATTACCAAAAAACAATGGTTTCCCCATGGTTTCAAAGTCGTGCAGGATTTCGTCCATCCACAGTATGGTGCTCAGCAGGGAATGAGTTGCAATGCCCCCTCTAAACCATTCCTTGTGGTTTCCTTTGAGGGAATCCGCAGGTTTAACCTCATTCCCTACTGAGCACCAGCAATACGGAACCTGACGTTCATTTTGGGGTCCTGGTTTGGACTCGACGATTTTCCTTTTAAAGGGACCCCCCGAACGTCAGGTTCCATGTTGGTGGACAGGAGGGCAAAGGGAAGCCTTGAAAGGATACCGGTGCCACTTTTTGTTTTATGCTATAGACGCACCCACTTGAGCTCTGTGGTTGACGATTGATTTAGGGTGGCTGGGGGTTCATTCCCGACAGGACTGATTTTGGATTGGAGAGGTCTGTTTTCAGACTGGGTGCTGGGTGCGTCGTCTGCTCGTTGAGACCTCAACGGTACTTTTTCTGTAATTGTCTGGGAAGTTCGACCCCAAATCCTCTGCAGAAGCTGAAAAGCCAACGCGTTGTGGGGTGTCCTGGTTCTATGGGAAAGGAAACTCTGGGGAAAACAACAACTGGCCCAACAACAACTGGCCCCGTTTTATCCCTAAAGTCACAAAGGAACCCCCCCCCCCCAGCCATCAAATGTAAATGTTCGACTCCCCCCCAACAACTCCCCCGAATCAACTCAAGTATGCTCCACAAAGAAAAATCCGGCCGGAGACGAAGCTTTCGCCTGCCGCACTTCTCGACGTAGTCCCGGTCCGTCATCAACGGCGTCCAGTCGCTGGCGTCCGCCTTCCCGGGCGCGCCTTTGCTTTCCCAGGCCTCCACCCACCAGAGCTCCGTGCTGGCCAAGCGCTTCGGCGCCAGGCCTGGAGGGGAAAAAAGACACGGTTGGAGGGAAACCGAACAAAACACAACAACCAAAAACACATACCAGAACACGGATGGGTCGTATTGAAGGGAAAAAGAGGGGCAAAAAGGGGAAAGCAAAAGTCAGAATGCAACATCGGTTGAGGGAGACAGATTGAAAACTGGCCGGTGTCTATCAGCTCTGGATAAATCTAAAATGGTCAAGGATTGGATCCCAGAGTAAAGAACATTCCTCATAGTGAGCTCGTGTTACCCTTGGCAGGCAAGCTCATCCACTTCGCACCCGCTGGTAGGTGGGTCTGCATGTTTTCGTACTCGTTTCAGCTTGTCTAAAGAGAAACCAACAAACCCGCCCTTCTTTAGGGGGGCCTGCTTTGACACGGACCTACGCGGCGAGTTGGTCTCAGGTTCTCGGAGGAGCCCCAAAGAACCAACTCAGCGGATCCTTTTGGTGGACTCCTCTAGGCCAAAGAGCTTCTCAAGCATGGCGTAGGTGAAAGTTGGGAAGCCATGTGGGCGTGGGTCAAAATTAAGGATCCAGGGCAAACCGCTGGTGTTTAAAGCTTTGACTCCATTTAAGGTGCAGTTTTAGGGGGGCATTCCACTTTTTGAGCCGCAGCCATATGCCCCCCCGCCTTTGGAAGCCAAAATCTCGTGAATCTTCTCCGCCTTCCGTTTCTCCGCCTCGTCATCCTTGCCTACCGCCCGCTGCAGGTGCACGCAAATCGGGGGAACGCCCTCCGCCTCAAGCTTCAAAGTCGCGAAGTCCGCCAGTCTCTCCTCAGCCGAAGCCAAAAGCCAAACAGGGCGCCTCTCTCTTTTTCTTGGTGCGAGAGATGCAGGGAAGGAGAAATGGAATGACCCTAACCATCCCCGATTTGAGTTCCTTCAAGGGAATCCCCAGGATCATTCCCTTTCTCATTCTTTGCTGAGCACCAACAACTTGTTTTGGTCGTGTAGCACCAAAAACATCCTCCTCCCGGCCTTGATCTGGAAGCTGTCGCAACTTTTCCAGGGCTCCGGCAACACCTGGCAGACGCTGCTGATCAACAGCCGCTCCTCCGCCTCCCGGTCGAAGCCTTGCTCGTAGACCAGCACCAGCTGCGGGCACGCGGCGGGCGACAACGAGGCATCGGCGTTGATCGTCCACTTGGTGCTGCGCCAAACCAAAAACTGGCCCCGGCTGACGTCGGACTTGAAGCCCACCTGGCTGTGGGTCAAAAATAGGGTAACCCCAAAATGGAGCCCTGGTACATAGACACATCGACCAAAACCTGCGTTATATATATATATATATGTTATATACATTATATATATATATATATATTCTGAGGGTTTGATTTTGACCCATACCCACCTTGGTCCCCGGAAGGAACAAGTTCTTGTCCGCCATCAGCACCTCCTCCTTCTCGGCCCGCTGTACGACGCCATCCTCCGCGCAGCGCACCTGCCAAACTGGGCCCGAGAACTCCGTCTCCTCGCAGGCACAAGCGGGGCCGCCCACCTGGAGCCCTGGGAAAAGCGCAATGCTGGCCTTCACCGCACGGCTTTCGTGGGCCAGGACCAAGCCAGGGACCATCTTCTGGCACCTGGGCTCCTAAAACACGCGACGTGTGCGCATGCAAAGTCGATCTCTGATGGCTGGAGCCGAGGAAATCCGCCGGTTCCAGCGAAATCTCAAGCATCCGCCAAATCACAAACACTCAGCCCCCCAACCCCCCCGATAAAGTGAACAGCTGCAATCTACCTTTCAAAACATGACTTTACCATGTCCTAGATATTCACAGGAAGGCTGCAAAGCTACGCCCATTTTCGGTCGCCCGCAACAGTGCAGCCCGCAGTAATCGAGGCAAAGAGCAAAGAACAAAAACAAAGCACAAAAGCATCTAACAAAGCCTGTGTCCATCCGCTGCTTGTTGTCGTGTCTGTGCGCCGCAAGAGTGGACGGTGTCAGTGCTGGACATGTCTGCAGCAACGGTGGGAATGACTGCAACGAAGAAACTGGCCTGACTTGCAAGGAATTGAGACGTCCCCCCCCCCCACCCGATACTCGTTGTCTTATCGCCGCCTGGCAACTTTTCCTCTGATTGATGTGCTTGATATTCGAATGCATGCCTATCAGGAAAATAAACCGCACTTCACGTCTGGTGGCGGATGGCTCGAACTAATCAACAACCAGAACTTGAGTCAAAACAAGTAGCGTATACTTTACCACCAATGTGTGAAAGCGATAGCGGATTTTTTCAATGAACCGGAAGGGGATTCCCAAAGGAAACCACCAGTGGGATAACTTTCTCGGGCTCATTCCATTCCTCATTCCCTGCCTATCGAACCTGCGAGTTCACCCCTTACCTTGAGTCGGCTGGGAGATTTGAACCCTGGTTCTTCTTGCAACCCTCCAAACGCACCCCCGCACCATTCCGCGTTACCCGCAAGTACCACACCCCCTCATTCCGCAACAAGAACCCGCAAGTGTCCCACCCGCCACGTCCCCGACGCACCCAACCTCCCGACTTCGATCCGACTCGAGTCTCGATCTCTGGACCTCGGCCAACAGCTGCTGGGCGCCACCGCGAAGTTCGCGCACTCGAAGCCTTGCTCCACCTGCGAGCGCGGACCCGGGGAACGGGCTCTCAGACATGGCTATGGGTCAAAACCAATGGTAGCATTTTGGGGTAGCACCACCCATTTTAGAACCTACTTTAGTGGGGATTGGGATGTTCACTGAGGGTACGGGCTTTTGGGGAATCAAGCTCTAAGACTAGATGTGGGATGGCCACCTCGTTGCTTCCTACGTCCTCTTTCCTGCTCTTTCCTCGGGCCGGCACTATTTCGTCAGAAAAGGTTGCCTATCAGGGAATCTCAATGGGATCAAACTCCCAAAATCTAAAAGCTGGGAGTGGTCAGTCAGGGCGCGCTTAGAGTCTCAAATCTGGCACAACTGCGATCTGTTGAATCACAAAGGCAGAGCCGCAAAGGCGAAAAAGCTGCTCCGCGGCTTGAGGGCTGCGCTATCAATGTCATCTTTCCGTCTCCTCTGACATAGAATTCATGTCCCAAAAGTATGCTGCATGGAAGCCCTGCTGAATACCACAGCCCTTTTCCAGCATGATACCTCCTGCACCCATCAAAAATCCCACAAACTTGCATTCTTTGACCCCCGGTCCCCCCACAGTGCTCCTTCGCGTAAAAGCGGGGGCGCTCGGACACGTCCCAACTTCTGCTTGGAAAAGAAAAACAGATCCCGCCTTGCAGAGGCCGCTGCACCCATCCATGGACCGCAAGTTCCCGTCGTCGCACTGCTCCCCGGGCTGCGCCTGAAAAAGGAAGCGCTCACCGGGCCACAAGTCACAACCCAAACCTGGTATCTCTGAAGCCGACTACAGGAAACTCTCCAGGGACAACTTTGTTTCTTGAGTGCGTTTGGCCAATGTCCGGAAGAAATTCGGAACTGTAGCTGGTTTCTATCATGATAGAGGAGCCTATCCAAGATGTAAGGAGTCAAAAGGGGTGGGAGTGTCCCTGAATATTCTTGACTTACCAGGGTTTGATTGGAATACCCCCGCGCATTGCAAAGGGTGATTTTCCGACATTCACCGATCGCAGCTGTGTTCAATTTCATCAAGCGTCAGCCAAACAGCCCATGTCAACTCCTTGAAAGAAGCAAATGGTCCTCGTTCTGTTTCTCTTTCTTTCTATCTTTCTGTCTTTCTTTCTTTCTTTCTTTCTTTCTTTCTTTCTTTCTTTCTTTCTTTCTTTTTTTCTCTCTCTCTCTCTCTCTCTCTCTCTCTCTCTCTCTGTCTCTCTCTCTCTCTCTCTCCCTCGCCCTCTTGGCGATGCCAGACGAGCGCATCGTCCATCTGCAAAAGCCCAATGAACGAGACTTACATCGTAGAAAAGTTCCACTAGAACCGAGCTGAAACCAGTGCCTTCTGTTCAGACCTGTTCGACCAACCTAAAACGACACTTCTCATTTCCACACCCGAACTGCCCCCCGCAGATCGGTATGGGTCAAAATTAAACCACCAGGAATTGCAGGAATTAGCTTTTCCAGGTTTCCACTTGATCCATTTGGGACCCGTAAAAAATGTCTCACCACCATGGTCACATGGGTATATCGACCGATCCAAACCTCCCCAGTCCCTGGGCCACCCCGCTACCCCATCCCCACAGATGGGCCGGCAGCTCGCGCGGTACACGGTCATCCCCGCCGCCACAGGGTCGCCTCAAACAAACGGGCGGAGCCTGACTACCTTGGGATTTTTCAGTCTGGGCAGAAGAAAAAGCACCATCTCTTGTTGCTGACCACTTTTTTGTTGGGAACCAAGCAAACGACAAATTTGGCCTGAGAGTGTTGCGCCTTCAGTTTGGGCCCAATACTTTGATCGAAAAAGTTGGGGCCGGCCAGCTGAATCCCAAGTCGTTCTGACACAAGGGCCAGAGGGAATCAGCCTGTTCAAGAATGAGGCTGGCAACGACCCAATTGGCGCAATCAAGGGGTTGCCGGGGCTCCTTCATATCTTTCTTCATCACCTGCAGCTGAAGAGAGTCCTTTTTTCTAGATGAACATACCTCCTCTGACGCATTTGCAGCTTAGCCGTGTAGCGATTTTGCTTTATCATTCAAACGAGACAAGGAAATCCCCGGAGGCTTGCCCGGCATCTTGTCTGAGATCCCCTGTCACACCCAGTCTTGCCGGGGCACACCCTCTCCGAGGAGCTTCTACAATTTGCTGCCGCCAAACCCAAGTTTGGGGGATGACGTGGGACAGGAAGAAGGTCAAGCAAAACGAGAGAACCCCGCAAACTTTATGACCCAGGGCATAAGCGTCATCGGCTACATTGGGAACCCTTGAGCGAATCAATGGGCAAGATACTATGATTCACAAACGTTAAGTACGAAAGCCCCAAGAAACGGACCTCCATTCTAGGTGAGCTCGTGTTCCCTGCAACCCCCAGCATGGGCTGGGTTGAGACGCACTGCGCAGCAAAGCTATGTTGAGATGAGAGTTAAAGCAAAACTATGGCGAAATGCTGTGTGGCAAGACTATGTTGAGACGCTCTGTACAACAAGGCTATGTTGAGACGCGCTGCGCGGCAACGCGTAGCCTTGAGGGTAGGTTACCCGATGCTTGCGCTCGGCCGCGCCCCTCAAGGCGAGGCCGGGCTCTAGGTCGGCGCGAGGCCGGCTGCTCCCGTCGCGCTTAAGCGGTCTGACGAGCGTCACATCAACCGCGACCTGCACGCCTCCAAAGGCCGGGAGCCCATTCGCGACGACCTCGAGCCGGCGCCCGTCGGTCAATGGCAGCCCGAGGTTCAGGTCGCGGAGGAAGACGTTGATCGCGACCGGAGCGCCCGCCTCCCGGCAAACGCGCTCCGCAGCGCGCTCCAGTGCAAAGCTTGGCTGCGCAGAGCTAGGCAATGCTGAGCTGTGAATATCAGGCTGCTAACGTGAGGCTGCTCAAGCAGACATTATTTCTTTTTACCAAGGAGATTCCCTTAACCTGCGTTCTGTTGGCTTCAGGTTGCACCAAGTTGTTCAAGTTGATCAAAATCCAACTCAAAAGGGTCGGTCAATTCCACCTCAAAAAGCGAGCAAGCCAAGACAAAACTGTGCAGATCCTGTGCTTCAATTGCTTATCGATGGAAAGCTGGGTGCCCGGGCTCACCCCGTTCTCATCATAGATGAGACCCAGCTTGGCCTCGGGATCCGGCCAAATGGGTCCCATTTGGCTATGGACGCCTGCAAAGGATTCAGGGAAACCAAATCACTCCAACCACCTTCAAAGGGAAACCAAAAGAACTCCAACCACCCGCAAAGTTCGCTGTGGGGGTTGTGGATCCGTCCCGGTCAGGTTCATGGGTTTTCAAAATGGCACCCCTTTCGGGCTTGGTTGCCTGTTGGTCTCCCTTTGAAGCAACATCGAAAAGGGTACCCTCGAAGCAAAGGTACCTTCAAAAACCAACATATATGGGTGTGTGTGTGTACATGTTGTAGCTTTGAAGGGAATCCAAGAGGAAAACCGCTCTTTCTCCTAAAAAACGAGAGACTTGCCCATATCTTTATTCCCTTCAAGTACAGTACCCCAGCCCCCCTTTCGGGGGCGGCTTCCCCCTGCTGACATTTCAAGACCGATGGATCTCTGCGCAGGGCCCTCTCAAACCCAAGTAGGACATGGTCGCACTTCCCTGGACGGTCCGTTTTCTCATCCCCTGCTAAAAATGACGAACTTCTGGGTGAAATGGACACCCAAGCACGAAACCAACTAAAAATCGCGAAACTAGCCTAGGGAACCGGATGCTAGCCAGCAAGTTCCCCCAAGTTCTTCATACCCCCTGGCTGTCTAAACCTAGGATCAAACCATGGGCAAGTCTCAGCTTCCCTCCATAGAGGGCACATGGGAAGCCTCCCCTTTTTCCACCAATCCACCAACTTGAGGGAAGCTGAAAGTCTGCTGACCCATCTCGCACACATTTGATCATTGCCACCGCCCCCTTCACCAAAGCCGCCTCGTGTTGCAGCCGGTCCACCATCGGCGCCTCTTCCTGCCGTAATGCGTTGGTCAAAGGCCATGAATCACATGATGTCCTCATAGATCACAAGGTAGCCCACCCACGAATCACAGGGTCATACATCCCTTGGTATCTCATCAATCACATGCTGTACTCATAAACCACATGATATCCTCATGGATCACATGGTATCTCAAACAGATTGGAGGTGGTCAAATTGGGGTTGGTTGTATGCCCAGCTCCCTTCGAACATCGCCCGAAGAAACTTGAACCGGATTCACCTGGGCGTTACTTGTTCAACAACCAAAAAGGGAATAACAAGCACCCTGTCAATGCGCCGAGTGGTGACGTTCGTTTAACCAAAAGGCCAACTCTCCGGGTGAGCACAGGATGTGACACTGAGAACCTGCTGATCAGAGTCTCTGCACGATTCTGAGTAAATGGTCGATGTTGGCATAACAATAATAATAACAGTAATAATCATATTAATAATAATAATAATAACAATAACAATAACAATAATAATAATAATAATAGTAATAATAATAATAATAACAATAACAATAACAATAATAAAATAATAATAATAATAATGATAATAATAATAATAAACAACAATAATAATAATGATAACAAGGATAATGATAATGACATTGATAATGATAATATTAATAATAAATAATAAATAAATAATAATAATAATAAATCATAATAATGATAATTAATAATAATAGTACTAATAATACTAATAATATAAAGTAATAAAGCAATAGGTAACCAAACACAACCAAATATCAGTACCCCGTCCCATCTCTGTGTACATCTTCAGATTTTCTAGCCCCCAGACTTGCGGCAGTTCACTCCAGGATTGAGCCGAAACGGCTCGTGCTTGCAAGCCACCAGAAAATCCGTGACACACCCTAACTGTCATATCATGAAGTTTCATCCAATGTACGAACGCACAAACAGGCATATCTGTACCACGACTGTAATTCACCAGTTGAAAATACTGGACCCCCCAAAAAAAATGCAAAAAAGAAAGAAGAACAACAACGGTGGAATCGATTTCTTCTCCCCTCGGTGTCTAGTTGTCTAGTGAATAGACAATAATATTCGCAGTGACTCACATGGTGTGCAGCCTTCACGAAAACTACATCTTGGCTTTCAAGTCTGGCCGGCTTCCGTTGGCACTCTCACATATTCAGCTTGGCATTCAGCCGGCTATGCAGGCAGTTGGAAGGGCGAACATGGCGGCTCTTTGCAACAAAGAGCTTGGATGATTCCCGGCAGATTCTGAGAACAAACCAAGCAAAGCTTCTGGAAGATCTTTTCGGCACAGCTTGGCACCCCTTTTTGCTTCTTTTGGCTATCCCAACGGTCCTACCCAGCTAACCTTGCCTCCAAAGAAAGCATTGCCTTAGACTCTCACCATCATTTTGTCATCTTTCAAACATGGGTTGGGTCTTCCTCCCTCCCTTCCACCCCTCCTCCTCTCTCTCCCGCTCTCTCTCTCTCGCACAACCGCCGCCCCGGCTCCTCCATGCACTGGAAGCCGGGCAGGCAGCCCCCGCAGGGGTCCAGCGTAAAGGCGTGGGACTCCCAGAGCTCCGTCTGACACGCGTCAGATCAAGGCGCTCGGAGAACTCGAGGGGTGGGGGTGGGGAGGGAGGGTGGGGATGGGGGATGGGCGGGGGTGGGGAGGGAGGTTGGGAGGTTGGGAGGTTGGGAGGTTGGGAGGCTGGGAGGCTAGGGGCTAGGAGGTTAGGAGGTTAGGAGGTTAGGAGGTTGGGAGGGAGGTTCCTTGTTCGGATCCAATTTTCAAGCCTGGAGTTCCCACGGGGTTGGTTGCTTTAAAGACCCGATGGGCACAAGAGAACTGACTGCAAGGGGAGAATTTGGTCGATGTTAGGCTCGGAGCAACCCTGTTGAAATTCGGTGAGGTTTGGGTCATTTCATCGCGGGGTCGGGGATTGGAAGGTTGCTTGCGTGGAGATATTATGGCTTCAGTTGTTTTTCTAGACTTTGCTGGGCTTTGCAGGCAGTATTGGGCAAAAGGTGTTCAAACCACCAACCCCTGCCCAACCCCTGTTGAAGCAGTCTGAACCTCAAAATATGGTTGACCTGGATTCGTGGAGCGCCCGTGAGGCCGCGAGCGAACAACGAACCAGCTTTTTGGTCACTGCACGCTGCAGCAGGGCCGCTTTGGCTCCCGCGGATCCCTAGAACCGCGCAGCGGCGAGGCCTCTGGTTCTGTGGGAGCCTCAGGCGCCGGCTCAGCCGTAGGCTTGGGGCGTTTCATCTCCCAAACCTCACCGCAGTCCTCCCACTCCTCCTGCTCGGCCCTTTGTGCGAAGCGGAGGTCTAGGTCGCCGAGGTCGATGTTTAAATCGAAACTCAGCTCACTGGAGCTATCGCTATGTACATCCGCTGCTTTGGCCGCCGACCAGCCAGACCAATGTCTGGTGCCGCCCGATCGCTCTGGGCCATCGGGGGCTTGCATGCCGGCCTGGAATGGTCTCCAGTGGCCGCCCAGGCCGCGCTTGTCCTGCTCCCGCTCCTTCTTCTCCTCCTCCGCCTCCTGCTGCTGCTTCCGAGCCTCCTGCCGCGCGCGCCGCCGCTCCTCCTGCCGCCGCCGCTCCTCGCGCCGCTCCTCCTCCTGCGCCGCCGCCTGCTCGTCCTCCTCGCGCCGCCACCTGCTCTGCCCCGCCGTCCCCGGCTGCGCCGCTCCCGGCCGCGCACGCCGCGACCCATTCGGCGCCCACTCCCGCTGCGGCGCCGGTTCTCGCTGGGCGTCATAGAGGGCGCGCTGCTGCGGGTCCCCCAGCACCTCCCAGGCCTTGGCCACCTGCAAGCTTGGCCAGCGCATGAGTGTTCCCTCAAACGGAACACGAACCAGGGGAGGCTGTTTCAAGATAGGCGGTTTGAGCACCAGCAGGGCAACTCCAAAGAAGGGTTAACTCTGAGTGGCAACAACATGCACCTTGCACCTTGCACCTTGCGCCTCGAAAAACGGCTCAAGCCGGCCTGCTGGAACTGCTGCTTGGCGCGGAGCTTCTGCGCCTCCGAGCTGTCCGGCGGGAGCTTGTCCGGGTGCACCTTCCGGGCGATCTGCCGGAAGGCCTTGCCGATGTCCTGCGGGCGCCCGCAATGGGCCCCATGGACCCCGGGGTGCCTTCCCGACCACTGGCAGCCCCTCCCCCCTGTTTGAAAGATCACGTTGGTAATAGCTCTAACACTCCAGCATGCACTTAGTGGTCGCGAGTACATATCCAAGTCTTATGTAGGAGTTTGCATTTATATATAATATAATACATACGTGTATATCTATATATATATATATGTGGTGGCTGTTGAGCCCTCTACAAAAAGACTTAACTTTTGTAGGTCCCGTGGAAAATCCACTGTTTCCCAAAAAGTTAAAGTCCAAGGATTCAACCAAATAGCCAGAAAGTATATAACGGTACGTGGGTGTGGCTCGGCTCAAACATTGGGAACCCTGGCAAATGGGAGAGTAGATAAAAACTTCTGGTTTCTGGCTCTTACATGAGCCACACCCACGTGTACAAATACCCGACTATATGGCCAGAAATCGATGTGTGGGGCCTAACAAAACCTTGGTAATTAGTATTATCCGCTGCTCATTGTTACCTGCTTTTGGGTCACCCTACTCAAGGCGGACGTGTGTGTGTGTGTGTGTGAGCTTGTGCTTGTGGGTTGCATAGTTGTGCGTCTGCGTGTTTGCAGGCTGGGCCCCATGGCCGTATTTTCTCTTTAGAATCACTTTCACTATCCAAAAGCCTCGGTTCATCTGACCAACCGCCTTCGCCCGCCCACGCCTTGGCGGAGGCAGATGGGTCTACGCCCAAGAGCTTGTAGTAGTCGCCATCAGCCATCACTCAGCGCATCCAAAGCCCAGCCTCATGGCGTCATAGAATTCTTCGCGAGCGAGCATGAAGTCCCGGCCTGGTTCGTTGAGTGGCTTCATGGGCAACCCTTGATTCATGGCCACATGACCTCATGACTTCATGACTACATGACTTCAGCATGGCTTCATGACTTCAGCATGGCTTCATGGCTTCGTGGCTGTGCGGCCAAAATCGCACGCCAATGTGCTGTGAGCCTGGCAGAGCGAGGCCTGAGTCTTTGGATTTCCATGGCCCCCCCTTCAAAAGAGAAACAAACAAGCAAACAAACGACCCAACACATACCTCAACGCTTGACGCATACCACTTGAGGGTGCCCCAGAATGGCGAAAAGGAAAAAGGCAAAGCAGAACCATGCACGGGGGGAATTCACCACCACTCTTTTGTCTGGTCCCCTTTTGAAAAATGGGTTCTCCAACCAAAGCACCGTGTCCATTCACATGCAAAACCTGGCCGAGAAATTCGAACGCAACGAATGTGGCAATGTGGGTCAAAAAGTCAAACATAAAAATCCAAAAAGAAACCCTGGTGAATGGAAACATTGGCTAAAACCTGCCCTGGTGGTTTAATTTTGAGCCATAGCCATGTTGCAATGTGGGGCCAACATGGTTCAACTTCTTCGAGCATGATCCTACGCGAGTCAAAAGCCACACACCGGGCTACAAAATGCTCACCCCACGCTGGCTGCTGGATTGACGAATATGCATTCCCGAGCCTGGTCAATCTTTGTTCATCAAATTTACCCAGATCCAGGTCGGCCAGATGAGACTTTCAGTTGGGTGAAAGTCAACTTCTTCATTACGCAGAAAAGCTTCCGTGTATTCCGCTTCACCCCAAGACAAAAGAGCCCGCAAGAAACAAATCCGCCTGCGGCGGCGGCATTACCATGGGCTTCAGCGGTGGGTCCCGCAGGCCCTGGGTGACGCGCCGCGCCTGGGCCGTAAGCCCGGCGGAAAGGAGTGAGGTCCCAAGGGCGGCGGGTCACGACGAGTTTACGACAACCAATGGGCCTGATCTGTTGAGCAAGAATTGCACGAGCGAACAAGCTGATAGTCAATTGAAAAACCGGGCAAACATATAGAGAGTACTGTGAAACAAGCCATCCGCCTCGCGGCTGTGCAAACTCGGGAGTGGAGGCCAGACAGAGACGTCAGCTGAAATGGGTCTGCGAGTCTGTATGTAGGTAGCTGTGTGTGTGTGTGTATGGGCGTGGGTATGTAGGTATGCAAATATAATCTAGCTAGGTAGCTGAGTAGGTATGTAGTATTTTCTAACAGCATTAAACAAGCAGACAACCCTACAAACAAGAAGCAAACACAACAAGCAAGTCAACAGAGGTGTGCATTTATGTGCAAGAGAGAGAGAGGGAGAAGGAGAGGAAAGGAGAGGAAACAACCAACTGAGAGCTCGCTGCTGACCAGGGGCGCCACTGACTGATTCTCGTCAGGAAATGCCAACAACACCGAAAACGACCGTACACCTGCAGCGTCAGCTCCCTAGTTGTTAGCAACATATACGTAGGAGGCTTGCAAAAAGACACGCGAAACATTCCACGCTTTCAATCCCAAAAACAAATGAGTCAAACAACGCCACAAATATCGGGATCCTGAGAAACTGGGCCTTTGAACCGAGGCAACGCTGTCCGACGAGAAAGGAAAAGCGACATCCCGCCCGGCGCCCAGGAGGCTTGCCTCACGGTCAGCAGGAGAGGCCTGCGAATCGCCCAGAACGATGCGCATTCCCCAAATGCCTGTAAACATCACCCCCAAAGGAAACTCAAACGCGGAGAAGTGATGCTTAAAGCACCAAGAAATCTCGTTGGCACCCGCCCTTCAACGGGCTTCTGACATTGAATGATGACAGCCAGGTAGGAACTCAGGCATGGCGTCGTAATCCATGTGTCGCAAGACTGGCCCCTCTTTGGATAGTCCTCAGGAAAACCCGAAAGCTGGATGGGGCTTTTGGCTCTGAAGCTCCAAGCAACACTTCACGAGCAAGATCCTTCCTAGCAAGACTTCCCTTCCTGGGAATCCCAGGTTTCCAAACCAAACATCGCCCGAGCGCCCAGCGGTCCACCCGTCGATGGAGAAGCGGTGGACTCCCCAGCCTGCCAAATTCCAAGTCCCCGATGGTAGCAGCTGGGTGGCTCGGCCTTTTTTAGCGGCTTCGGTGCTCCTGTTTGGTGGTTTTAAAGGGAAGCTTCCCTGTAAAACCACCAAAAAGGTGTATCCTCAAACATAGGCACAGCTGTCATTCCCGGAAGATGTAAAGGATCACAGAACCAAAATGGAGGGAGAGGGGAGGCTGTGCCGTCTCTCACCCAACTCTAAATACCAGTACAAAGATGGCCGTGTGCGCCATCTTGAGACACTCCCAGTTCCTAAAACATCCAGAAACCTCTGTGCCGGGCGTCCAGCGTCCTGCCGCAAGCTCCCACCCGAAGCTTGGCCCCGACCAATGCTTTGGGGGAGAAAACCTGGGCCGTGTCTGGGCTGTCCGTTTTCAGATCCCCCGCTAAAAGTTGGGTTCAATAGCAACCCCCACTATACACTCAGCTAAAAAGCTAAGGAACCGGATGGCTGGGAGCAGCCAAGATATCTAGACCTCAAAATTTCCGGATTTCTCAACACGGATTTATCAAGGGTGAGCCGCCGGTACAGGATCACCCTCGATGTTGTTCATCCGCCAGAGTTTAGGCTTTATTCATCCGGGGGGGTCCCGGCCAAGGTCACCTCCTTGGGAAACAGGAACAAGTTCTTCCCTTCTTGGGAATCTCTTCCCTTCAAATAAGCATACAGCCCAAACATAGCTATTTAGTGAAAGGGGGATTAATATAGGTATGGATATATATATATATAATTAAATCAAAACATATGTTGTATATACGTTGCCAGAAATAATTTACGTTCACAAATACATCCGATCACTGTGCTACCCTCGGACTGCTCCCAGGCTTCAGCCCGCGCCCGCGAATTCGTGCCTTGGATTTCCACCTCAATCCACTCCCCGTACCAGGCGTCCGTCCTGAGTGCGCCCACTTGGGAGACGAGGAGGCTTGACCTCTTGATTTTTCCGCCAGTCCTGGTTAGGCCGAAATCTGAAGGGTCCAAAAAATGCACAACAAGAGGAAGGGCCCTTAAGGAGGAGGGCACATGAGGAGAAACAAGCAACACGAGGATTTAAGAGAAACGGCTCTCAAGTCTGGGCCAGCTTGAGATGCCACCTCTGAGTAGACAGACATCAAGAAGTGGATTCCCCTGTATGGGCCATGGTCCTTCCTTAGCAGACACCATGCATTGGCCCCCCGAGCCCTTGGTCATTCCAGAGGTACAAACTTGGACCCGCCGCTACATTGCCAACGAAAAGATGCCCGGCTTCCCTGGCCTGAGGGGGGGGGCCCTTTTGACTATCCCCAGAACCGGTTCACATATTTGAAGCACGGGCTGCCAGATCTCAATTGTTCTGGCAAGAACAAAACGAGGTGCCATTCTATACCTTGCTTCTCACAAAACGAGGTGCGCACATTCTGGAGCAGCTGTGTTTTTACCAGGTTGGTCAAACACGCACAACTGCCAGGAGCCTTAAAGCAAGGTGGCTCGCTGTGGCATGAAAAGGTACTTCAGCAATCTCCCCACAGAAGAATCTTACATCCTCCCGCCTTGCCTCATGTTGCGTTTATGAAAGAATCCCCAGCCGCCACCGTCCCTTCCACCCGCTGCCGTCTGCCAAAGCCAAACGCCTCGAGGCCGAGTTGCGAATGGCTGGTGACGCGGATGCCCACAGGGTTCATGGGGTAGTCCAGCAGCACATCCTCCCGAGATTTTCGCGACCAAAACCGAGGGCATGGAGGTTTCCGGAAAAGCCATGCGACCTCTATGGAGATTTCCTATTTGTGTTCCTGAGATACCAGTATGCTCTGCGCTCTAGCGGCAGTGGCAACCAAAGCGGGGTCTCCCGCTTGACCCTATTCCCCGGAGCGGGGAATCCATCTGCATGGCCCCATGCTTTTCCTCCGACTTCGGAGCCCGGCGAAAATCATGGCCTCGCCTGCATGAAGGTCTGCGTCTCGCCGGCCATCAGGTCGGTCAGTACGAAGCTGGTGAGATCCTCGACCCTCGGCACGCAACTTCCCTCCAAAAAAACCCGAAGCCGGTTGGCCGAAACCGGATCACAGCTTGGCTGTGCGTCTGTGTCAGTGGACTTGTTTGTGCTAGTGCTTGTGTGTTTGTGTCAGTCAGTGTCAGTGTCAAGGGCGCTCCCTTCTGAGCTCCAGAAAGAAGACCGACATGACACCAAGCAGTTTGGGCGGGCTCGCAGTTTTCAAGCGCGGCCAAAAGGAAATGCCCTGACATCGTGAGGATAAACATTGTACGGAGTCTTGCTGTGTTTTGTTTGTTGGTGTGTTTTGTTTGTTTATGTGTTTTGTGTGTTGGTTTGGTTTGGTTTGGTTTGGTTTGGTTTGGTTTGGTTTGGTTTGTTTGCCATGGAAATGACCAGACGAAACAAGTGGTCCGCCAGTCTTTTGCAGCTCAGAGCAAACAAGTCCGGCTCCACTTCAAGCTGTCCAAGCCTCCTGGAGAATTGCTTTGTTCTGTCACCTTTCGGCCCCAGTGTCCACAAGACTGGTTTTGCGGGTGGATGCTTTGTAACACACCCGGGCACCTTCACCGTCGCCCACAACCTGCGGGCTTTTGCTGGAGTTGCCACTCGGACGACCAGATTCTCGCGACGTGGGGCCAAGTGGGGGACCCTTTTGCAACTTGCAAACCGCATGTTCCGCTCCGTGAAAGAGAAACAATTTCCCTGGGAAATCAGCTCGACCTGGAAGCCCGAAGCACTACCTGAAAACCAGCACCTGAAGTAGTTGCGAAGGAAGCCCGCCTTCATGTACGTGCACGGTGTGTTGCCCTTCTTTAGGAGTGCAAACATTACCGGTGTATGATAATATCAACTCACGTGGTTCGGCTTCCTTCAACTGTCCTGTCCGAAATCGGGTCCGACTGGCGGTTCAAGCATCGATCAAGAATCTGGAATCAG